CATACATACATACATATACACACACATGCATATATATATATATATAAATATATACACACATATATATATATATATATATATAATGTGTGTATCATTTAATATGTACACAGTTTATTTGTGTATGATTATTTGAAATATTGTGATGTGGTGATGCAGTAGGTAATGCTGTCACTTCACAACAGGAAGGTGGCTGGTTCGAGTCAGGTGGCATTTCTGTGTGGAGTTTGCATGTTCTCTCCGCGTTTGCGTGGGTTTCCTCCGGGTGCTCCGGTTTCCCCCACAGTTTAAACACATGTGCTATAGGTGTATGAGTGTGTCTGAATGTGAATGAGTGTCTCCCAGCGATGGGTTGCAGCTAGAAGGGCATCAACTGCGTAAAACATATGCTGGATAAGCTGGCAGTTCATTCCGCTGTGGGGGACCCCTGATGAATAAAGGGGCTAAGACGAAGGAAAATTAGTGAATTCATTTTTATAAGTAACAATTTTAAAACAATTTCATCATTTAAAATAATATTTCCAAGTTTGATTTTATGGAGTAAATGCATATACTGTTGTATTTTTATAAAAATGTTTTTGTTAATCCAAAGCAATATGAAAATCTCAATAAAAAAGTCCAGACTTTGCAGCTGTAAATGACTCTGTTGCATTCACAATGTATACTGCTGTGAACATATTCTGAAGCACACCGTTCAAAGTGAAGCGTGTAATCAGTTACTGTATGTACTGTATATAAAAATGTTTTGTGTGTTTTTGTTCACACAGAAGTCCAGACGTGGGCTACACTCCTCCTCCATCTCCTCCGCTCCGACAACGTAATGACCGCAATGTGTTTTCCCGCTTGACCAGCAACCAGAGCCAGGGCTCAGCACTCGACAAGTGAGTTTCATAGAAAACAAAATTGATCTGAAGGAGGCTACGTGTCCGTCTATTTTAATGTTTAATTTGGAATATTGCATAAAACATTCTTAATGGTAACACTAAAACTGCATTCACACCTTTTTTCCCTAAATTAAATGTAATGTAATTAAATGTAAATTAAATTTAATGTTTAACAGGAATTTTTCACAGTATTTTCTAAAATATTTTTTCTTCTTGTTTGTTTCATTTCGGCTAAAATAAAATATTTTTTTTAAATTTTTTAAAAACTATTTTGAGGTCAATATTATTAGCCACCTTAAGCAATTTATTTTCAATTGGCTACAAAACAATTCACTGTAATACAATGACTTGCCTAATTACCCTAACTAGCCTAATTAACCTATATTAAGATCGTGAAAAACGTCTAGTCAAATATTATGTACCGTCATCATGGCAAAGATAAAATAAATCAGTTATTAGAAATGAGTTATTAAAACTATTATTCTTAGAAATGTGTTGAAAAAAAATCTTCAGAAATTGGAAAAAAAAAGTGTATAACAAATAAAGGGCGAATAATTTTCACTTGTAAAAAAAATAATAATAATAATTAACCTTGTAAACACATCAAACACAGGAAGAGAAAAGAAGGCCCACTCTTTTTTTCCAGGTCATTGCATCTTTACTTTTAAAAGAATATATAAGCAGGTCATTAAAATAAAATTTTAAAAAATCAATACGGTCACAAAACCAAAATTGACCATCAATACTTGCAGTGTAAAGCAGCATTATGTGCGTATACATTTTTAATAAATGTATATAAATGCACACTGCTGAGCAGGGCCGATTAAAAAAAAAAAGTGCATAAATTAGATGGAAACACATTTACAGAACAAATACCAGCAAGCGAATCAATAAAAAGTCTTGTGACTATTGTTATTTTAACAGATCATGTGATTCGCAAGTAATTAAGTTGGCAGTTTATTCCGCTGTGGTGACCCCAGATTAATAAGGGGACTAAGCCGAAAATAAAATAAATGAATGAATGAATGAAAAAAGGCCCACATTGGCTTCTTCTACCGTAGTAAACCCGGTTTATCATGAAGTGATGATTTCAACACAGGCTCGTTGTGAAAATGTACCCCAGTATACATTCCTGGAGAGCGCAAATCATTTAGCCAAAGGTACGTCTGGCTGCATTTAATTTTGAAAACTAATGCTACGGGGTTGTATGACGCCGCTGGCAGCTTCTGTTTCTATTCCTGCTTTCCCCGCTGACCGCTTATCTCCGTATGCATAGCTTTTCTGCTGTAACTAGTTTGCTCGTCGTGTACGTCGGCGAACTTGAGATGCAGAGCGGAGTTGACCGCGACGACAGGGTTCGAAACTGCCGAAGAACGGTTCCAGAAAGCAGGTAAAACAAAAACAAAAGGCAAAATATAAAATAAACAAGTAAATAACAGGGTGAAAATGTGGTAAGATCTGAAAACATGGTTAAAATTAGGCAGTCGCAAGGGCTTTTCTGGAATGCTTTTAAAAACACTGTGGGTTGGGTTTAGGGAATGAGGTGGGTGAAGATATCATTCGATCGGTCGGTCAGTCAGTCAGTCAGTCGACAGCAGCCTCTAGTGGATTTATACGAGAACAGCAGGCGCGAATGGCACTCGTGAGACATTTTTGAGATCTAAAAAAGCATACACAGCGGCCTCTGGTGGATTCATGGAAAACATAAAGAACTGCAAAAAAACGTATCTCCTGGAATGTATTTCGTGCTCTCCAGAAATGTATACTGGGGTACATATCAATAATAAGGCTGGGTTGCAAAGATTTTGTTCTCTTAGGCTTATTGGATTAAAGTTCTGCTTTTTTTTCGCTAAAGTCTTATGCAATATTCCAGTTTTGCGCATATTTGCGTTGAAGCATAGCTACTGTATCCAGGGATGAGGTTTTTCCCAAAGCCCGCATTTTCTCTTTTCAACTGTTGAACCTTATTTTCTCCACCTAACTAGTGTTCTTGTCTCCTCCGTGTGTAAGTGAATGGCGGTTCAGCTTTAACCCTGCGTGTGCTGCAGGCGGTATCGATCTCTAATTGCAGCTGAATGGTTTGCATAAGTCAAAGCCGACAGCAGCAAGCTAGCGTCAGTTCTCCGGCTCCTGCGAATTCTCATTATAACACCACAAGTGGGCACATTAGGCTAGGATAACCAATTATTCCACCCTCTGAAGATGGGTTTTGTTTGCACTTTCCCTCCATAATTGAATCAGCAGTGTCTGATATTGCCTTAGAGATCTAAATTGGTCATTTGATGCGCCTGTCAGGGATTTATCTCATTATTTCTCCAACCCCTTAAATATTGCGCTGTTCTCGTGTGTGTGTGTGTGTGTGTGTGTGTGTGTGTGTGTATGTGTGTGTGAATGTGGTAGGAAACATATCAAAACAGACCGCAGATGTTTCTTCAAGGCTGAATTTCTAGAATTTCCACAAGGCTGTGGCATTCCTGTTTGTTTACAACGTTTTTTTGTTTTTTAAGTAGTTATTCGAGCACCTTCAGCTCAGTAATTTTGTGTTTCGTTTAAAATCACCATAATTAATGCTGTTTGCTTAAGCAAGCTTCTCTTAATTATAGGTGTGTGAGATGTCGCATATCCTATGAGAAGGAAGATTTTTATACTTTAAACAAATCCTCATTGATAAAATAGATGTGTGGAAAAATAGTCTTTTATTAAAATAAATCACAAAATGTAGGTGCTTTATGAAATCAACATGACATGAAACTCACACTATTAGTTATGGTCTAATACTGCTATCAACAAACCATTATCCAGGACTTTAACTCATTCATTCATTTATTTTCCTTCAGCTTAGTTTGTATTTCAGGGTTCGCCACAGCGGAATAAACACATATATATGTATATGTTATATGTCATAAACATTTTGGGCTCTATTTTGACGGTCCATGCGCAGAGCACAAAACGCAGGGCGCAAACGCTTTCAGGGCGTGTCAGAACGCATTTGTGCTAATTTAAGGACGGGAAAATCAGCTTTGCGCCATGGCGCATGGTCTAAAAGGGTTGAGTTTATTTTCTTAATGAGTTATAGGTGTGTTTTTGGGAATAAACCAATTAGAGCCTCATCTCCCATTACCTTTAAGAGCCATTATTGAGCATGTCTGGGGTAAGATGAAGGAGGAGGCATTGAAGATTAATCCAAAGAATCTTGATGAACTCTGGGAGTCCTGCAGGAACGCTTTCTTCGCCATTTCAGATAAATAATTTGAGTCATTGCAAAGTCAGACCCTACTGTCCTAATTAAATAATTCAAAATCAAGGCTTGATCATAATTTACTTTGGTAAAATAACTATAATCTAGAGGCCTTTGCCTTTCATATGAGCCACTTCTAAACCAAATGATCGACTAGAAGGCAAGTTATTATTTGTTGTTCCTAAAACTTGTATCGGCGACAAGACTTTAGTCAGGTAGTGTTTATATATATATATATATACGCCTTTCTTCAGCATTTCTGAAGCCGCTTGTCATCATATGGAAATGAATTTAATTAATTTTGACAGTGTTCATCAAGCACTAATGAACTTCCTCCATATCTTTTGTTCAAAACTTAATTATATCCCTTCTCTGTTGACATGTTTAACATTAACAGTCTCACCTGTTAGTCTCAGTATATGATCCGTCAGTTGTGTGATCTTAATTATTTGAGCTCACGAGACTCTTCTTCTCCACTTGATTACTGATTGGTCTCTAATGGGCGGCTCGCATTTGATTAAATTGGAGTCCTGACAGCCTTTACTTTGCGTGGTTTAACACAGAATAACAAAATGGAGACAGTCATGCAGGCCAATATTAATAGACCTTCATCAACATTCAAATCAGCGAATCAAAATGTCCCGTCAATTGGTCACACGCTCATTAATGCACTTCTCGAGTTAAGTGTGTGCGCAAGTTTGTCGACTTCTGAATGCTTGTTTTAAAGTAGTGGTTAACGCTCGACACTTCATTAAAGTTTCAGCCAATCAGATGCGATCTGAGGATCTGCTGGCGGTTGGTTTTGTTTTTGCTTTTGACTCTGAGACTTCATTGAACAGCGTCGCACGTAGATACGCAATTGAAAGCTGTTTAATGCGGTTGACCCTCATCACAGAGGCTGTGAACTCGTCACATGAATTTCTTCCTGTTCTGAATGAGAAATCTCTTGTGGCCCGTAATTCATTTCTGCGTTTGTAGATCAGCTCGCTCTGATAAAATTAAGGTGATTTTTTTTTTTTTTTTTTTGCAGCAGAACATCACATTAAGTTTAGTAATATAAGGTTTGATATGAAATGATTGAAAGGTTTCTGTTTCAACACTGCAAATTTAAGCAAAGCAGTCATTAATATTTGTCAGTAATTTTAAAAATAATTAAGATTAAATGAGCAAAAATCAAGCAAAGAAGTGTCATTCATTCATTTTCTTGTCAGCTTAGTCCCTTTATTAATCCGGGGTCGCCACAGCGGAATGAACCGCCAACTTATCCAGCAAGTTTTTATGCAGCGGATGCTCTTCCTGCCGCAACCCATCTCTGGGAAACAACCACACACACTCAATCACATTCATACTCTGAATAATTTAGCCTACTCAATTCACCTGTACCGCATGTCTTTGAACTGTGGGGGAAACCGGAGCACCGAAATGTGTCCCTCATATTTATAAAAGTATTTATATTCATTTATGAATTCAAAAAGGATTCTTTGAGCTGTATATTTGTAAAAATAAAAATGTCATGAGATTTGAACTGCACTGTGTGTATACACGCAGTACACAAATCAAAGTTTGAGAGGTTAATCATATTTTTTGACATTTTATGAGTGTTACTGTTGGTTATTGCAAGCCATTTATATTGAAATCAATGTCAGTGACGCTACCATATACACTCATCAGCCATTTTATTAGGTACACCTGTTCAACTGCTCAACGCAATTTCTAAATCAGCCAATCACATGGCAGCAACTCAATGCATTTAGGCATGTAGACATGATCAAGACGATCAGCTGCAGTTCAAACTGAGCATCAGAATGGGGAAGAAAAGGGATTTATGTGACTTTGAACGTGGCATGGTTGTTGGTGCCAGACTTTTCAGAAACTGCTGATCGACTGGGATTTTCACGCACAACCATCTCTAGGGTTTGCAGAGAATGCTCTGAAATAGAGGAAATATCCAGTGAGCGGCGGTTATGTGGGCACAAATGCCTTGTTGATGCCAGAGGTCAGAGGAGAATGGCCAGACTGGTTCCAGCTGATAGAAAGGCAACAGTAACTCAAATAAGCACTCGTTACAACCGAGGTCTGCAGAAGAGCATCTCTGAACACACAACACGTCCAACCTTGAGGCGGATGGGCTACAGCAGCAGAAGAGCACACCGGGTGCCGCTCCTGTCAGCTAAGAACAGGAAACTGAGGCTACAATTCACACAGGCTCACCAAAACTGAACAATAGAAGATTGGAGAAACGTTGCCTGCTCTGATGAGTCTCCATTTCTGCTGACACATTCAGATGGTCGGGTCAGAATTTGGCGTCAACAACATAAAAGCATGGATCCATCCTGCCTTGTGTCAATGGTTCAGGCTGATGGTGGTGGTGTAATGGTGTGGGGGAGATTTTCTTTGGGTCCATTAGTACCAATTGAGCATCATGTCAACACCACAGCCTACCTGAGTATTTTTGCTGACCATGTCCATCCCTTTATGATGGTAGTGATTAGTATGATTAGTAGCTTATTGAATCTACGCCACGAAGGATTAAGGCAGTTCTGAAGGCAAAAGGGGGTCCAAACTGGTACTAGTAAGGTGTACCTAATAAAGTGGCCGGTGAGTGTATAGTTATTAGCCTAATAAAGGGACATTTTCCTGTCTACCGAGCATAAAGCATTTCTAGGATTAACATTCATTCATTCATTTTCTTTTCGGCGTAGTCTTTTTATTAATTTGGGGTCGCCACAGCGGAATGAACCGCCAACTTATCCAGCACATTTTACGCAGCGGATGCCCTTTCAGCCGCAACCCATCTCTGGGAAAATAGGATTAACATGATTAGTCCAATTTTAAAAAAGGCTAATTTTGGTATACCTTTAAGATGTAATATTAAGATTTTTGATCAATTTATAGCGCCCTTCAACTATCATTACCAAAAAAAAAAGTACTGACCCAAGACTATTGAACGTCTCTCCTTCTGATATTAAAGATTCCATCAGTTTAAATTGCTTTTGGCTGGAGTTTAAATAAATTTACGGAAATCTGCGGGGTTATAGTTTGTATGTGTGTGTGTGTGTGTGTGTGTGTTTTTGTGACATATCAGGACACAATTCAGTATAATAACATGGGCATGACACAGGTATTACAAGAAGGTAGTCAAATTTGAGGACATTGCTGATGTCCTCATTTCTTAATTTCTTATAAATCACACAGAATGAGACCGTATAAATACAATGGAAACCTATGTAATGTCCCCACAATTCACAAAGACAAACGTGTGTGTGTGTGTATCCCACTGAGTGTTTTAAACTGTTACTACTGATAAAAGAAGACCATTTATGTTTAAATGTCATTCATATTTTATTCCCTGTGAATTCACATAATAGCGCTTATTATAATGTGTACTGCATGCAGCCTTTGACGCTCATGTGCTTCATATTGTCTCTGAATAGTGGGAGCCATTTAGCCCAGAGCGCTATAGTGTTGTTACAGTTTCAATAGGAGATGCTGCATGAATGAAGCAAGTATTGACAATGTGTTTCACTTAAACACTGGCCTCTCCTTTATTAGTCGTGGTTTGTTTCTTTGATAGTCCTAATAAAAATTGCTCAGATCAAACAGCCGAGTGTAAATTGAGGCAATAAAGGTACCGTGAAATGTGCAGTTTTGATTCGATGTTTTATATAATTTTAACTGAAACATTGAATAGGGCGGGGCATAGAGTAGCTCCTCCCCTTTTTATAAAAACAGCCAATAGCTTTTTGTTTTGCTCACAGCTCTGCCAGTGAGAGTGGTTGAGCATCAAATGAACAGCAAATGAGAAGAAGGGGGCGGGGCATGTCAGACACTAGAGAGCATTTGATTGACGTGATGGCGACGTGAAAAAAAAATCGATTAAGGCAGAAGTGACAAACTAAACGCTAATTTTGGAGCACACTAGCTTATTGATATACTTAAAACGAACTATTTAAATTTAAGACCTTTGAGCATCCATTATGAGCGGGAAAACGTCATTGTTAGGCTTGTGCAGGTGGATCGGATCTAAGGTTTGGAGTGGGCTCTTCCTGTCAATGTGTACCAGTAACCCCACCCCAATGAACTCTGCATAACCCTCCTGCTAACTCCTCCCTTTTTTAATCCAGCCCTGCCTGCTCCCTGGGAAGCCCCTCCCCCTCTCTCCCTCTCTGTCTTCTACTGACTCCTCCCACTTTCCCCCCTAACCCTACTGCCGTTCTGCCCCATAGGTCGGATGACAGCGACTCCTCTCTCTCGGAGGTGCTCAGGTAGAGATCTCTCTGTCTGTCATTCTGTTGCCTGGTTGTCCCGCCCGGCCACACCCCCTCCAGCGGGTGTAGTCACGGCGTGAGCATCATGCATGATCCCTTTCCATTTGCGTCCTGTGCTGTGAACTCTGTGAGAATGGGCTATATGCACAGCTAGTGTTTTTCTGCCAACGGTAAACTTCCGGTGAAAGATTTATGTGACTATTTATGGTTCCTTTTACAGCGTCGATGTTGTAATGTTATTAAAATACAATCAGTTACACAGACTCATTCAATCTAATTCAACTCAGCTTTATTTGTATAGCGCTTTTACAATGTAGATTGTGTCAAAGCAGCTTCACATAGTCGGTTATACTGATTTGAAACAGTGTCAGTCCAGTTTTCAGTTTATGTTCAGTTCAGTTTAGCTCAGTTCAGTGTGGTTTAATATTCACTGCGGAGAGTTCAAACACTGAAGAGCGAATCCATCCATGCACAGCTCTAGAAGTCCCGAACCAAGCAAGCCAGTGGTGAAAGCGGCGAGTAACAAACTTCACCAATTGACCAAAGTGAAGGATAGAAGAGAAACCAGGCACAGTCGGGTACGACCATTTCTCCTATGGCCAAACGTCTTGTCGGAGCTGCAGTCTAGGCGGCGGAGGTTTAAGAACAATGGACGTCAGACCAGTGGCGTAGCGCAAAATGCGGAGGCCCCTCTGCAGGGATCACTGACGGGGCCCCCTGATGAATGAGGGGGGAACCGCACGGGAAAGCGATCACAAATTGAGGAGCGGGGAAGGGAGGCGGGGTGGAGCGACAACGCAGGGAAGCCTTCACAAACTGAGGAGCGATCACAAACCGAAAGCGGCGAGAGCGTCAAAGTAGCCAGAAGTCATTAATTTTCAATGAGAACCGGCGGCGAGGAAGAGCGCGGCGCGTCTTCTCTGGTGTGAGTGTCGAGGATAGTTGAAATCAAGTCAACTTTATGGTACGAGCTATAACGCGGTTCGGCAGCAAGCAATCAGAATGAAGTAGTCCACCGCTTGAGAGGTGTTCAGAGAACACAAACCTGTGAACTTTGGTTCCGACCACAGTTGTTCCCAAGAGTTTGATTATTGCGGTTGTTGGATTTACAATTGTTGTAAATCCCCTAATCACGCGGGGCCCCCCCGTGGTGCGTGCCCTGCAGGCCCATCCGCTACACCACTGCGTCAGACCCGTCTGTCCCCGAAGCAGCTGCTCAGAATACGACCTGGTCTGGGATTATGGAAAGCATTCATTTAGTTGTTTAGGCATTAATCGAGATGCGTTTAAATGGAAGCACCATCGTTTGCAACAGGCTAGCAGAAAAACTTCCTTAAAGTTACTGTGGTGTAATACATTTTCAAAATTTAAAGACATGACGCTGAAAAATGGAATTCAAAGTAGTGCATCTTGCCCGGACTGACACCCACTTTATATTGTATATCAATCAGGCAGTGAAGATCACTGATTTTTAAAGAAATCAGATCTTGAATGTGGCGTAATTGTAATGGTGTGACAGTTCACTGGAAGCAATTGTGCTCGCCGATTGAAAATTACAGTCATAAAGTCTGTGTGCATACAGCCCATTAAATGAACCTTATGGATGGACTAGTCTGAATGGCTTTAATGATCTTGAGTGTTCGGAGGAGGAAAGAAAAAAAAGATTTCAAAATACTTTTTTGTGATCCAAATGTGCTTGCTGAAATGTCAGCTTTTGACACAGAATCCTTTGGATTGATTGTTTCCAGCGGAGCTTTTGGTAAGGTTCTGTTCAAAACCCTTTTGGGATCAAAGGGTGGCATCATACTAGCCAACTAAAAGTGGCTTTGGCCAAACCTAATAACGTTTTTTCCAAAACTTCAAAGCCTTCTGTCAACTTCCCTGATTTTTTTCTTTATAAATAACTAGATGTGACTCTAAAGGAACCGGTCACACTTTACAATAATAACTACACACTATGAACCATTTACTAAGCATTAGCAATTAGTGAATTCATTATCTGTTAAGCATTAACTCTACATTATCAGAAGTTAGTAAGCAGTTTATAACTGCAGCTACACAAGCTCTATTCTTGACTCATAAGCATATTTATAATGATTGTACTTTCATACTTGGTTAATGATTTATTTTTCATTACAAATTAAGTTTTGCATTATTTAGATAGCAGTTATTTAAGAATACTTGGTTGTTTTTTATAAGATCATTCTGAATGAGTTAGGAAATTCTTAATAAACTATTCAAATTAACAGTTATAATTCTTATTAATCAGGCATATAATAACAGTCAATATGCATGTTAATAAATGCTTCATTAACTCAACTTCATCCAGTTTTGTGACCTGATCTAAAGTGAGGAGCATTTATGCTTAATAAATCCAATATAAATGACAATTAAAGGGTAACATAAAGGACATTATTAATTTCTTTTCGTTTGAAGATCCACAAATGAAACTGCACTTCAAATGAAAAATAAATCTTTGCAACCTTTTCTAAAATATAATTTTTGTACAGTTTAAATATTTCATCTTATTATATTGTTAAAATATTATATTGTTGTTGTTTTATCCAATTTTGTCGTATTTTGACACTCCTGTTATTCAGCAATGTTCAAACTTTACAGTAATTTTACTTTTTAGATAAGATTGTAAAGATTATTGTTCATGTGATACCAAGTCTTTAATAGTCATTATATGGGATTTATAAAGCATGAATGAACTAGATAAGGTCACAAAACTGCATGAAGTTGAGGTAATAAAGCATTTATTAACATGAATAGTAATCATTACTAGGCCCACACGGAATCTGTGTGCGCAGAATTCCATAGATTTTCCTGCAGATTTTTAGCCCATCACTAATTCTGTTTATTTACTTGTGTAAAGGTGTGTAAATCTATATTTATTCAGTTTTTAAATTAATTAGAGTAATATTATTGACTAATATGAAAATGTCCATCTGATTTATATACAATGCAGTTTGTACTGTAACATTTTCTGTCTTTTAGTAGATATATGAGAGACTTGCTTTGTTTACCAAACAAAATTAATCTAATTGGATTTGCATTTTAAACATTAAGAAAGCTAAAAAGATTTATTTATTTATTTATTTCATATATTAAGGTTTTAATTATGATGCTCCCAAAATAATTCTGCAGAAATCTGCAGATTTTTACCAAAATTCTTTGCAGAAATAGCAAACAACATCCGCAGATTCCGTCTGGCCCTGTTCATTATTATATGCCTGAATAATCAGATATATAAACGTTGATTTCAACGTTGATTTCAATAATTTATCAATCATTTACTAGCTCATTCTGAATGATCTTAAAAATCACCAACTACTCTTAATTACAATTGGTTTGTAAATGATGCAATACTTTATTTAGTAATGAAAAATCCACCAGTCACAGAGTATGAAAATACAATCATTAAGCACATTATACATGTGCTTATAAGTAGGCCCACATGGAATTTGCATGTGCAGAATTCTGCAGATTTCTAAGCCATAATTAATTCTGTTTATTTACTTGAATAATGTGTGTAAATGTGTTTATTCAGTTTTTAAATTAATTAGAGTGATATTATTAACGAATATGAAAATGTTCATCTGATTTATGTACAATGCAGTTTGTACAGTAACATTTTCTGTCTTTTAGTAGATATTATTACTATTACTATATTATATGAGAGACTTTTTTTGTTAACAAATAAAGTAAATCTAATTGGATTTGCATTTTAAACATTATTAAAAGTTAAAAGATATATATATATTTTTTTCACATATTAAGGTTTCAGTTATGATGCTCCCAAAATAATGCCGCACATTTTTAGCAAAATTCTCCGCAGAAATTGTCCGCAGATTCCGTCTGGCCCTACTTATAAGAATATAGCACTTGTAGTTGCAGTGATAAACTTCTTACTAACGTCTATTAATATAAAGTTAATGCTTAACAGAAAATTAATTCACTAGATGCTTATGCTTAGTAAATGATTCATAGTGTGTAGTTTTTATAAAGTGTTACCAACGAACTTTATTGGTCAATGCCAAGGCCATGAGAGTCTGCCTCGCCAACTGAGCAGTATTCCAGGCACTTCCGAAGAAGTTTGAGTCAGCGGGACATTAATTCTGGGTTAACAACCACCCGCTGAGAGACACCCCGTCTCTTGTTTCTTTAACAACTATGTAAATGAAGCTCTCAAATTAAAATTGCCTGAAATATTGGCTAGCAAGATGTCAACTGAACTTGTTAACATGTCTAGAAAGTTTGACATCTTTTGAACCCCCAAGTGATTTTAATTCATTTTCGGCTGCATTTCTTCTGGTCTCTGCTGTAAAAACTCTTAAGAAAAGGTTCAGGCAAACTCCACAGGATTAATTTTGTATGTTGCTCAAATAATCTTTTTTTAAATCCAATATAGCGACGCTGTGATTTCTCCGTACCCCATTATCCTGACAGCACAATTGCATTTTTCTTGTTTCTTTCGAGTTGTTCTTGTTATCCCATTAGAAGCTAATGGCTCTATGATGAAACATGGAGTGCTTGGAACAACTCGCTCCCAAATTTCCTTTGGGAGACAAATCTGTTTAAGGGGAGAATCACAGACAGCTGGCTTAACTTGTTCACTGAGTGAGTCAGGGTTGATAAACTGTTTCTGGTTGAAACAAACAAGATGGTGATGAGAAACTTGGCACTATGATGAGTGTTAAAGGAACAGTCCACTCCACTTTTTTTTGGAAATAGGTTCATTTCCAAGTCACTGCGTCAATTCTCAGAGTCACACAAGAGACTGAGGTCTGGTGGTAGCACTTTTAGCTTAGCTTAGCATAAACCATTGAAGCAGATTAGACCATTAGCATCTTTTCCAAAAATGTCAAAAAAGGAGTTTTGATAATTTTCTGATTTAAAGCTTGACTCTTCTGTAGTTACGTCATGTACTAAGATCAACAGAAAATGAAAAAATGCTATAAGAGTTAGCTCTTTTACCTAGCTGGGCTACCTTT